TGGGTCCAATATTCTGAGATCATTACAAATTTAGTTGAGGTTAAAGGCCTAACAACCAGAGATGGGGGATCTGGAGCCATCAAGTCATCTCCATGTCATGTATTTGTTCTGCATAATGATTCCCCATCTCTGCTGATGACATAAAGAGCAGAATTCAAAGTTGAGAGCATCGCACTACCACCAACATGCCAGATATAACAAAACCCACATCTCCCAACATTTCTAACACTTGTGGCATCAGTCCTCAGTATTTGTGTTAATGGTCATTAACAGGTTATATTAAAATTTAACACCTGCTTGTTCTTATTGATGAATCGGGAACACAGAGGGAAACATGAGGGCTTTAAATGTGTTTCTGGGTTCCTTTGTGACCTGGATGAAGAGATATGCATTCTTGAAGTTATTATTGAGAGCCAGCCAATCCTGGGATGAACCTACACTGTGTCATGGTTCACCGTTTGTGGTAATATTCCAGACAAATAGATGAAAATTACTTTTTTTCACTTCCGTTTTTGAATGTTTTGCATGAAATCTCCACGCAGCAACTGCAATCTCACACATCATTGTGTTTCTGCTTTGGTTCCCACATCTCATCATGCCCCCCCAAAAGCTTTATTAGCAGTTTGTCTTATAAGAATTCTGTCATTTGAGCTCGTTCTTAAACTCATTAATCTTTTAACAGATTTTTACAAAATATTTAAAGCATCCTCAGTGCTTGTTTGAGTGTCAAGTTTAGCATCGTGGTGCTTAAGGTGGCTGAATGTTAGAGTAGGTCTACCAGCTTGATTCTGCTATTCTTTTTTTAAAGAACTTCAGTACTTTTGTTTGTAGCTAAAAGTTTATTTTTTCCAATTCTGGTGTTGGATGCTGTTCAACTGAGAGAATTTCTGCCAATATCTTTTATGTTTGTAATGATATGTATCCATAGCAAGAATGTCAAGTTGTATATTTCCAGCCAGGAGGAGATTGTTAATATCTAAAAAGCTAACAAAATATTTCAACTACTTCCCAAAGTCCCAGGGAAGTTGAAAATGAGGTGCCATGGATGCAGAGGAGGGAAGGCGAGAAGCGAGAGAAGGAGGAAATGCAAGAAATCTCTTCTAACAATCACTAGGATCAATGTGAGATCTCCAGGAAAAGAATTAGAAGAACTCCAAGCCCTTGCAAGGACTCAGACAGAATCTACCAGGAATGCAGTGTTTTTTTTTATCGTGGCTGCAGTATCATTGTCAGGTTTGGTTGAAAATAGTTGAGGATCCAAATGCAAAGAGTAGGAGGCAGAGATGATGAAGAGTTAGCTGCAGATGGCAGCAGGAGCACAAATCCAGAAATAAATAAAATAGAAACCAAAACCAGGAGACACCAGAGAGAAACACACACAGAGCAAAGCAATGAAGAGAAACCCACACTAAGGAACAGCACAGGGAGAATATAGATGGGAGACTAAACAAAGATTAGGCTAATGAGCTAACAAGGAAGTGTGGATAGAAGCAACTAGTGGATGGGGGAAAGGAAACTGGCTCAAGAACACAAAAAACACAACACTGCTGAAAAATACAGTAACCCTTTCATTTACAGCAGATCAGTAACCATGTAATAACATGGTAACAAGCAAGTTACACTATATTACAATGTAACAAGGAACACTTTATGGAAATTTTGGTAAGTGCTGTGCTTCAAATTTAAGGCAGACAAGGTAAAGTCAGACTTCTTAGATGTCAAACTGTTATTACAGGTAACTCAGTCATTTCACCAACAGCAATAAATTAATGTGTTATTATCTACTAAAATACAGTTTATTTCTTGGCAAATAACAGAAAACCAAACCTAGAAGACAGCAAGCCAATCTTCTCAATTGAACACTTATTTATACATAACTTGAGTTCAATTTTATATTGCTTTATTTACCTGATCACAAGTAATTATTTACTTTGGTAGGTGGTGGCCAATAATAGAAACTGGTATGTGGTAAACTGATGGTAATTACCCACCAAAAGTCTCCATTGTTACATAGTAACATGCAATTGTGATTATTACATGCAGGTAATTACCTGCATATATACCTTAATTTTGGGGTAATTACTAAGTAAAATCTTTCCTGTTACCAAGAAATTTAGTGTGACTTGCTGTTATTACCATATTCTTACATGGTTATCGATGTACTGTAAAAGAAAGCTTTACAAAAAAAAAGAAAACTAGAAAAACTGCAATGACACAAAATGGAAAAGAAACAATTACCAAGAAAACAGAATTACATAAATAAAAAAAGTCATATCCTTCTATATAGTGAAACACACACACATATATATATATATATATATATGTGTGTGTGTGTGTGTGTGTGTGTGTGTGTGTGTGTAATGTGTGGCCATGTCTTTAATACCTGGTGGGGACAATTTCCTAGGAATATGCTACATTTTGGGGACTCATAGGTACTTGTGGGGACCAACAACTGGTCCCCATAAGGACAGTTTCTCTTCTTGGGGTGGGGGTTAGGTTTAGGACTAAGGTGTGAATTGAGTTTAGGTTAGGTTTAGGGATAGGTATGTGTCGGTAATGGTTAGGGTTAGGGCAAGGGTCACGGTTAGGCCATATAAATTAGTGGGAAATGAATGGAGGTCAAAGGAAGGTCCCCACAAGGATATTGTGACACAACATGTGTGTGTGTGTGTGTGTGAATAAGTAGACAGATTTAAAAATGCTGGAAAAGTATAGAGACGTTAACAGGAAGTTGAAGAGGCCATGTAAGAAGGGAGCCTCTTCTTTTGTCAATGGCTTTTCCAGATTTGCAAGACAGACTGTTCCTATAGTTAGTAACATCTAAAACTTGTTAAAAAAAAATACATGTGAGTTACTACAATTATTTCCTTTGGGAAGAAATTTTTCAGATTTTATAATCTTGTTTGTTGCTGTTAAAAAAAGGTTTGTTGAGGCGTATTCTTACCATATTCCCATCAGCGCCAGGAAGACCATCCAGACCATCTTTACCAGGAAGACCCTAAAAAAGGTTGTATCAATAAATAGTTACAGTCATCGAGGACAGATTGCAAATACCACTTTGAGAGCCACAGTATAAGAAGATAATTTTTCGGGATTAGAAATTAAACTCACAGGTTTCCCTGTGTCTCCTGGTTTACCCTGAGACCCTCGTTCACCAGGGAGACCCTTAAAAAACAGTAATAAAGATACGTCAGTGCACTCTAGATTATCTAAATAAGGCTTATACATACACAGTTTAGGTAAGCATGTTTAACAAAATCATAAAAAAAGAATATTAAGTCTTGATTTTAATTTATAACTTACAGGGGGACCGAGTGGTCCTGGTGGCCCCGGTGAGCCTGGCTGACCTGCTGAACCCTTTAAGATAAACAGTGTTTCAATTGAGGTTTCATCCTGTATATAATTTGTGTTTATTTTGTGTTTACAACAGTAAAAGATAAAAACTGTAAACTGTCTTACTTCAAACTTAAAAAAAAAAAACATGTAACTGTATGTCCTAGCTCAGAGGTTCCAAAACTTTTAAGCCTGAGACCCCAAAATTAACAGTGCAACAGACTCGAGATTCCCTAAAAATACATAAAATTACTTCACACTATATGAATCTATCTTATAAAGTGAAATAATTCTATTAATCCATGAATTAATTGTTTAATTAATTAATTAATTAAACAATTGTTTAATTGTTAATTGTTTAACTGATCATTTTAAAGCATTTTCATTATTTTAATGGGACATGTAATTATCTTATTTATTAACAATATATTGGTTATTCATTTTTTGAACTACTGTTGTCGGAATATTTAGATTTCTCTTATTTCATATATTAATTTATCCTATTTACTCACTATAAAGGTTTTCACTCATTCTCTTTCACCTGCAAGGCCACATAATGCCCCTGTGTGAGGGTGTTTGTAGACCAGACATAGCTTCTTCCCAAAACAAGCCCGATTCTTTCTCAAGGTTTATTCATAACATGTTACTGTTAACCAAAGTGACTATAATTCGTTTTGACTCTGACCACTTTCCATTGTCTTACAACAATGCATTTTTGGTACATGCAATAAGCAGGCGTGCTGAGAATGATCTATAAAGATTGTTGCATGAATAAAGTTTCTGCTGATTAAAAAAAACAGATTGCTTTGTCCAAAGGCAGTAAGAGAGCAACCATAAAAGAAGATTGAGGTTCAAAGCCATGGAGATGGAGGTAATAATGAAACAGACCCCATCTTATCATCTAACAATACAAAAACTCCTAGTACTGCAGCATAGTTTACTATCTTTTGTAAGTTACTGCATTAATGTGTGGGATCAGGAGCTAAAATTGTGTGTTGGATATTAACTATGATAATCCACTAGAGGGCGCTGCTTAAAATACTTGCAAGGAAGTTTAGATTTTTTTTTAAATTCTGCTTTTATTCAAGTGTACACGTCCTATAACAAGTCCCCTTAACTTCATGGTTTAAGCAATGAATTTGTTGTTTTTCCTTTCGTATCTATTAGCATAACCATAAAAAAGAAGAGCAACACAAGAGATGAAATCTAAATTGCTAGATGGGGGTTTTAGATGACATCCCAGTATGATTGCCTTGCTGTTATTTGCTGTATATTTTACAGGTGTTATAAGAATGAAGGAAATGTGTGCACTACAAAAAAGGTTTTGTTTCTACCTGAGGTCCAGGAAGGCCATCTACTCCCGGCAGTCCATTGTCACCTTTCCTTCCCTGAGAAACATACATTTTTATCAATAAATTATTTGAAAAAAAAAAAAAGAACAACACTGCATGTATCATAACATTTGATAAGCCCAGTCTCTGACCTCACAATATGCATCTGTTTCACTTTGGGGAATTTAGAAAACTGCCCCTGAAGTAAGCTAGAGTGAGGGTTTTACTCTCATGAAACAGTTTGGGTAGAAAATCTAGAGGTTTTACATGTAGCTATGAAGCAATAACACCTAAAAGTCTATCCATTTCAGCGGGAGATCTGTGTTTGGGTGCTTTTTCTCCCTGTGAAACACCTCAACATTACATAATCTATCATTAAAAGCCAAATGGAAAATAATACCTTCTTAATAAAAGCTTTATTACTCTAAATGTTCCATAATATTTCTGAGGACTAATCTCTTGGTAAATATTGAAGCTCTACTAAAGTCGAAAATGTTTGTTTGTAGAAAACATGCTACACCTGAAATATTGTAATAACCTTCTGCACTCCTTAAACAAATTAAATATCAATGAGTAAGTTGTAGAAGCACTCAAAAAAGTGATTGCAACACAAAACAAACACAAAAAAGAGCTCCTCGCTTTCTGACTGATCTGTAAATGTTCAAATTAATTCCTACTTCTCGACTGATTTCTATTCTTTTATTTTTTTGCTTCATGAACTGTGCTCTTGAATAAACAAAAAAATATATAGACTAGCCCCACTAAAAACAAGCATTTGCCAAAGATTCCTGCGTCACCACTGAATGTGTAAAAACCGGCATTGTGAAGAATGCACAGTGCACTTTGTCATGGCACTTTGCAAACTATAAACAGTTTGTTGCACAATTACTGCAATGGGCTTTTATTTTGTGAACTGTACAAAGATGGTCACAGGAAGCTGAAGAAGCCCTGAAAGGTTGTTGTTAAACTTTAGACCAGGATGCACTGTGCCATCAACATGGAGAGGACATCAGTGCAATGGGTATGGGTAGATAACACCCTCTCTACCAGAGCAGTGAAATGGTTCCCAAATAAGAAAACCTGGATCACCAGTGATCTAAAGAAAATGATAAACTAGAACAAAAAGCTTTCGGTAAGGAAGATGGGGAATTATTGAGGAGTGTACACAAAGAAAATCCCAGGTGTTAGGCATAAAGAGTATCATACAGAGGAGGTCTATCCATTGTTATGGATAGACCTCCTGCCTTCTTCCATTACCATAAAAAACTCAGCCTTCAATGACCGCAGAGCTATAGAAGACAGTATTGGTGCTGGAGTTGGTGTAGATGTGTGGATCTCAGTAAAAAAAAACTTTGAATAGTCATTGCATGCCTATTCTTCTTCTATTCTATTCTTTATATTTTTTTAACAGTGTCCTGTCTGGCGATGTGGCATTACATCAGACTGTAGTATTGGGCTGATACAGGAGAAGGTGCTTTGGAGACATTTTCACCAGATGGTGGAAACAATCCATCCAATCCACACACTCTAAGAAATCAGACCATAGATGTCCAAAAATTAAGTTAGGTGTCATAATTTGGAATGTCCCAGGGAAAAAGTATTGAACATGTGAATCAATGTGCCATCACCCCAAAAACACCAGTTGCAGCCATTCAAAATGGCCTTTCCCATTCAAACCCCAGCCGAATGGCAGCCCACTCCCCTTTGACTCCACCGTTTCACTGAATTACAAGGTCTGACCAGGAGATGGCGCTTCTCTTTAGATCTTAATGTCCACAAATCATGACAAAAATAATATTTTAGTACAAATATTGATGTTTATGATCTGCTGCCATCTACCAGGATGATGGTGATGAAACAAGGGTTGACACTTCAGCAAAACAATGACCCCAAACACACAGTCAAGGAAACTAGCAATTGGTTTCAGAGAAAGAAAATAAAACTGCTAGAATGGCCCAGCCAATCACCTGACTTGAATTCAATAGAAAATCTATAACCCTCAACCCTCAAGTACTTAAGACTGTGGAAGAATGGGCTAAAATCATAACTGAACAATGCATGTGACTAATTTATCCATACAGGAGGCATCTTGCAGCTATCATTGCCAACAAAGGCTTTCCTGCAAAGTATTACATTTTTTTCAGTACTTTTTCCCACATTATTATTCATCTATCCATTTTCTATCATGCTTATCCCAAGTGGGGTCGTGAGGGGTGCTGGTGTCTATCTCCAGCTGTCTACTACCGAGAGACGGGGTACACCCTGGACCAGAGATGGGAAGTAACGAAGTACAAATACTTAATTACTGTACTCAAGTAGATTTTTCTGATATTTTTACTTTACTTTACAACTTATTTTTATGGCGACTTTTTAATTCTACTCCTTACATTTTAAAAAATTGGCTCGTAACTTTAGTTTTGAATCATTTCAATGGAGTTACCGTTATTATTTTTCACGTCATCAATACCAAATTCAATCTAATTGGATGGGAATCTACGTTGCATTTGACGCACCACTACAAGAAGAATCGACAGATTCGGCGGTATTCATTGGCGGCAAATCATTGCAGCTTGGTGGCGGTGGCGTTAGCATAGTAGCATGGACAACGAGATGATTGAAAATGAACACAACGGAGATCTAGTCCTATTGGCAGACATCCATTTAAAATGTAGGCAACGGCATGAAAAAAGTGGTTTCTACTTTTACTTTTATACTTTAAGTAAATTTACAAGCCTGTACTTTGTTACTTTTACTTGAGTAAAGAAGTTTAATCAGTACTTCCACTTTTACCAGAGTACTTTTTAACACAAGTATCTGTACTTTTACTCAAGTACGGAAAGTGAGTACTTTTGCCATGTCTGCCCTGGACAGGTCAGCAGTCCATCACAGGGCAACACAAACAAAGACAAACAGGACAAACAACCATTCCCACACACACTCACACCTAAGGAGAATTTAGAGAAACCAATTAACCTAACATTCATGTTTTTGGACTGTGGGAGGAAGACAGAATACCCAGAGAGAACCCACACATGCTCTTGTTCTAGGGACGTCTCTGGAACCTCTGAAAATAAGTTATGATTAAGAATTCTTCATAAAAAGAAAATTATGGAAAATAGTGAGCATCCTCTTCATTAGAGCATCTTAATTCAAAGGTTTTTCTAGATCCTTTGGAAGACAGACTGTTATAACAGAAAGTTCCTGTCTACATCTACTAAAATTCTCCAACACCAAATAAAATAAACAAACATTTATTTTCTCTTGGGACTAAGAAAGAATGTTTAAATTGAACTCAAATGATGAACTTTTCCCCTTTATGTTTTTATATTTTAAAGCATCCAGCTACGAGTGCACAAGATCAAATGTTTTTTTATTCCCTGCACAGCCTCCCATAATACAAACATAAAAAAGCACTATATTATTGTTTTCACACATATAAAAAAGTGGAATATGCTCAACGGTTTGCTTTTTTTCCTAATTAAGTCTTAGTTTAAATTCTCGAGAAGCTCTGGGGAAGTGATGATTTAATGGGATCAAAGTAGGTCAGTTTGTGCCACAAGAGCTTTGGCTTCACGCAACTGCCAAACTGAGCAGCTGCAAATTATAACTCCAGACCCCTGTTAATGAGGAGTTAAACACTTCCAGAAGATCGGTGTGTGTGTGTGTGTGTGTGAGGGGCTTCTATGTAATAGTTTCACAAGAAGTAACATAAAAACATGGAGTATGGTTTCATCTAAAAAAAAAGAGCAGTAAGGGTAAGGGTTCACCTTTTATTGCAATTAAATTATTGCACCTCATTAAAGAGAATTAGAAATTCACACTAGTAATTTAAATAACATAAAACTGAAAAAAATAAAAATAAATAAAAGTGTACTAAAGGCTAATTTAGAAAAACAGTATATATATATATATATATATATATATATATATATATATATATATATATATATATATGTGTGTATTAGGGCTGTCAAAATGAAAGCGTTAACGCGAGATGATTAATTTCTGGAATTAGCACCGTGCTGTTTTACCCATAATTCAATTGTCTGTTAGAAAGAGATGAAGGGGTGAGAAGAACCCCTTGGCCCCCTGGACAGACTGATCGAGTATTAAAAAACCCAAAGATGGAGCAGTAAATAAAGATGTGGGTTGCTCACACTGCAAGAAGAACTTTTGGTTTCACTGAAGCACCTCGAGTCTTAAAAATCATTCATTTGTCGGAGCTTCAACCTCAGGTGTTACGTTTGGCATGCGTCAGACCACCCTCACCTGCATCCGAAGGTTCCATGCAAAGGAGTCCTCTCAGTTGCTGGCCATATTGTTCAGCAGAAACTGTTCGCTTTACTTTCAGAAAAATGTTAACCAGTGAGTTTGCCTTAGCAACTGGCTAAAAGATGAATAAATAAAAGGTAAAAGGTCTATATGTAATTATTTGAAAGCGGAGTTGTTCCACTCACCTATGTTGTTTTTCCTAAAAATGAAAAAAACTAAACAAAACAAAGGGCAATGTCTAAGTTTCCAAAATTGTTGAAAATATGTATATTTTTTTCATAAATAAAAAAGTAAATGTAACATCCACTTCTTCTTAGTTAACCCCTCCTCACCGACCGCAGGTGGTCTTTCTTTTTCCTCAATGCTCGGGTCCTGGGAGCTTAAGGGTTCTGCCCAGTATGTTTGCTGTTACAAATACTGGCATGCCCGCAAGGAAATTATTATCTATATTGACATGACTTGAAATATAATCAATGAAACTTGAATATTTTGAATGATATTATGAGTATACTGAGTGAAACTTGTCTGTTTTATTCCCGTTAATATTTCCCTTAAGGAAATAAATTTCATAAACAACAAGCCATATAAACACTCAATATATATATATATATATTGATGCAAGAGAGCAAGTCACGAACTGAATAAAAATGAAGCCATAATATTATTTGCTTCATAAAACTTTGCTGGTGTTGTTTGTATCAGTAAAAAAAAAATCACTGACCACAACAACCAGAATTCATTTTCTCCCACACATCTGAACATTTCTGGATTACTTTAAGGCACTCTTAGATCACAGACAGACGTAGATCAATAAGGCCAAGAATTCAAACCAAAAAAAAAATCAACCCTTTCTGACCCTGTTCCTTTCATGTTACACAGAACAAACTCCAATTCAGACACAAACAATATTTTCTTATGCCGTTGCAAATGTCCCGTACGTATACAGTAGCAACTACCTATTACCAGATCAACCACATTCAAAATCAATGTGAAAGTCTTACTCGTTCTCCACGCTCACCAGGCAGACCTTTTGCCCCCATAGGACCCTAGGAAACACTGAGTTAGTCACAACATCCACAGTCCAATTGAGATTTTAGCAAAATTGTCTTATTTTTATCCTTAAAATCAGAAGTCATTTAGTCTTACTGGAGGTCCAGGGGGACCATCTGCCCCTGGTGGCCCACGAGGTCCAGGTTCTCCCTGAAACAAGTAAAAGGCAATGTATGAGTATGCGTTGTACTTAGAACTGTGAGGACAAAACAAAGTTGATTGTCTTTAACAGGTGGTAGAAAATTATAGGTAGACCTTAAAAAATGTCAGGTTTTGAGGACACCCTACATCAATGGATGCTGCCAGGATTAGCATTTGGTTTTACTGAATTACTTCACTCTAGAAATGATTGCACAACTTACGGTTTCTAATGTCTTTGTTTATTTTCCCATAAACAAAAACTTGACTAAAACGAACTGCCTTTGTTTATTTTCCCATGAAAATATGATATGTAACTATTAATATTAATTAAGAATAAGAATTATTAAGAGTAGATATTGAAGTAGATGTGAGTGAAAAAAAAAACAACACACAATAATCATGAACTGTATCTCTCCATGGTACTGAATGGTTGAAATATGCTTCCAGCCAAACATGTTACTCACCCTTTCACCTCTCAGGCCTTCCAGTTGGACCTGGTATAAAAAGGAAAATAGTAGATCAATGAGATGTAACTTTAATCAGTGGTTACTCTGGTATTTTAAACTTTATTATGACAAAGATCCTGATAACCAACTCATTAAAATTTAGTTCTGATTCTGTTAAAGTTTAGTTAATTAATCCAATAGGGATTAACTGACTTTATAGATTACTGTAACCCAGTAGTATATATTATTGGCAGGAGAGTCCTTCTCAGAAGCATCTAAGTAGGAGGAGTTCATTGATCAGATGAAATATTTTTTAACAGTGTCTCTGATATTCTGGTGAAGGTTCTCAGTCATCCAGGTCATTCCCCAAAAAATGAAAAACAATCCACTGGACTTTGTTTCCAAGTTTGAAGACGTTTCGCTTCCCATCCAGGAAGCTTTTTCAATTCAAAATGTCAGGAATAGCGTTGAGTTCGAGGTTTTATACAGTAGCCTAATAAAGCCTTGTTTTTCTTAGTTTTGTTCCAAAAACAGGGCTTTGTTGGACTACTCACCTCTTGGTCAAGAGGTGAGAATCAGGTCCTGCAAGTACAAGGCCATGGTTAAAGGTGCCCTTCAGGATTCTGCCTAAACTGCAGGAGTTGAAGTTCTCTGCATGGTGGATGGGCACTGCCTTAGAGGAAGGGTGAGGAGCTTAGACGCTCGGTAGAGTTTCTGTCTGGCTGTGACTCCATCCTGGAGAGAAACATCAGCTGTGCTGCTGCCATCAACGCCTTTGTTTATAGATGTTGGAGATCAGTCTGTTTTTTCGGTGTGGTCCTGTTTCTCTGACTGTGACTGGCTGGATGTGTCCTCTTCATCCTCTGACATGGGAGCTGGCTCGGAGCTCGCCTGTCTGGCTGTGTGTTTCCTGGACAGGGCTGCCTGTGGAGCTGGTTGACAGTTGCCTTTTCTGCCTCTACTGTCTCCTTGAACCCGAGTCGGCCTTGGCGGATGGCCGCTCACACTGAGCCTGGTTCTTGCTGAAGGATTCTTCATGTTAAAAGGGAGTTTTTCCTCTCCACTGTGACTACAAGCATGCTTTGTGTGAAGGATTGCCTTTGCGTCAATAAGTTGATGCAATCAACTGGTTTTCTTTAGAAAACTTTGAATCAATCTAACTTTCTGATCTGGTTAAATCGTCTCAGTAAAGTAGCCTGAGATTATGTGTTGAGAATTGGCGCTATATAAATAAACAGAAATTAATTGAATTGGATTACTTTAACAAAATTTTAAATACTTCTGACCCCACTTTATGTTTTTTTATTGTTGTATTATATTAATAAAAACAAAATATATATATAAATACATAGGACATGCTGAAATAAATGCCTTGCTGCAAGTTCTAGGGTTGAAATACTGGGGTTTGGGTTAAAATGTGGGGTTTTTACTGGCACTTACCATATCCCCAGGTAATCCAGGAGGGCCTCGATCCCCCTGAAGCAGAGTTAACAGAAAAAACAAACATCATCAGAATAACTAGACCCTTAGAAAGACGGCCATGACACAATGTGTTAAAAACATGGCTCCTGCCTTAAATCATAAAATGACTCCTGCTAAAGTGTTTTGTCATCACAGGCTGAAACAAAGTAAAACTGCTAGTTTAATTATCCTGGAATGTGTTTCTACGTGAACCTTGACTTTTGTGTACATACAGCATGGATTTGGTATTTCAAGCATGTGTCAATAACAAGGATACATCAAAGTCAGTAATTACAGACAGACAAATGAGCTCCACAATTTATTTCCTTAGACAAATTACTTTGGTGGTGCACTGAGGAGACAGAGGAATGTCTGGTGAAAGAAGACTGATGCTCTGGAAGCACTGAAAGGTTTCTACATTTGCTAAATAGAAATAAAAAAAAAATGCAATCTAGAAAGCAGACTTTGATCTCTTAATCAAAAGAAAGTTTTTGCTGTTTTCTCAGACTTCATTTGTTTTTTTATTAGATTTTCTTTCAAATGTAAGTTTTTTTAAACTGTATTTTTAATCTTTTATACAGTTTTTTATATTTTATATTTTTTATTTTTTAAATGTATCTTTCTCGGATACATAAGAAGTCTTTTTACGTTCTTTCCAAAGAAACAGATCACATTCTATTCTTCATGAGCCCATTATAAACAGTCACTCATGACGTGTTTATTGACCAATAAGAAGGATGTTGGTAATGTCCATAGAGACCAATAGAACTGTCTCTTTGCCCCAAACTCCAGATAAAAGCCGCCCCAGAAATAAAGAGATTGTGATCTGCAAAGTGGAAAAGTAATTACCTGAATAAAAAAAAAAGAAATTATGAAAAAAGTTCAAGAATTAAAATGCAAAAAATGTTGGAGAAATAAAAAAAAGGAAAATTTAAGAAAAAAAAAAAGGAAACAGAGCAAAATTACTGGAAAACATTTTTGAATAAGGCATTTTTCAAAGTGTAATTTCTTGGTTGCATTTTTTTTTTTTTTTTTTTAATCTTTGCTAAAAAGACTAATGGAAAAAATAATCACTCCATTATATCCTCTATATATTTAAAATGTATTTAAACGAGATGTCTTGCACACATGATGAATAGGAAGGTGGGCAGACCTTGTTGCCTTTGATTCCATTTGGCCCGGGTGTTCCAGCCAGTCCTCTCAAACCCTGTTGGAAAAAAATAAAATAAAATTGTAAGGAAATTGAAATTAGTTCTGTTTTAAAAACAGGATGTTAAATATATATGTAAACTCACATCTTTCCCAGGAAATCCAGGCTTTCCTGGTAATCCGTCCACACCTGGTAGACCCTAAAGCAAAAAAAGTTTGTGTGAAGTTTTTTCCTGACTGCAGGTAGAAGAAAACAGTTTTATCACATATTTTGCCTAAAAATAGCCGAAAAAAACAGCAAACATTATTAAACCAGTGGAAGCCAGAGGTGGGTAGAATCTAATATTTTATAAAAAAAATGTACTTTAAGTAGTTTTACTTTGATATACTTCTTACTTTTAAATGAGCCAAATTTATGTCAAGTATCACTATTCATACTTGGGTAACATTTCTGTCTACTTCGCCCTCTGGGAGTAAATGGAGCTATTCTAAGATCAGGTGAAAATATAACAAATGGTTATTTACCCTATTCTAACATATCTGCATTAATTATTTTAAGTTAATAAGTTTTAAGTTGAAAATCTTATTTGCAGAAGTGTTTCTTCTGCATCAATTTCTTATTCATTATCATATTATTTATTTGTGGGTTTTTTTTGTTCAATTTAGTGTAGTTAGTTGAGTATTTTATTGTTTATCTTTTAACTCTTCACTATTATGTTATTCTTATATTATTATATTATTTATTATCTATTCTAATTTTCTAAGGTCCACATTTGTATGACAATTTTTTCTATAATCTTTTTGTTGCTGTAAACACACAAATTTTCTCCATTGTGGGTGAATAAAAGGATTTTCTATTCTATTCTATTCTATTCTATTCTATTCTATTCTATTCTAATCTATTCTATTCTATTCTATTTTAAATACCAGAACCTGCCCATAACATTTCTCGGACTACATCAAGTATAGAAACAAAATCAGATTCTGGGGTCCAACACCGTACTTGGGTAGTCAATTTGCAAAACACTTTTTTACTCTTGCCTGACTTGTTTGATGAGTATTTTCTACTATTAATCAAGTGGAAATATGATAAGGTAGCACTCTTACTTGTGTAAAATGTTTGGCCGATCTACTCCAGTGGCCTATGAGAGCATTTTCATTGTGACGACCAGGCAGGGATCAATGTGCTATTAGGGAATGGCCGAAAACTTACAGGCACTAGAACCAATTCAAGGCGAGTCTACACTAATTACACTGACAGAAAAGTTTTTTTCTCAAGCCCTTGTTAATAAAGATATTTATATGCTGTCTAAATTAAAAATATAGTGGACAATCTCAGCCTTCAGGATGGATCATGTTATCTATTAGTTGTCCCACATGCCTATCATCAAAATATTCTCATTATTTACGTATGAAATCGTACGAAAAGTTATGCACCGTAATTTCGTACGTTTTGGACGTTTTTTTTTCGTCGTATGCGCATGCGCATCTGACGCGCCATTTACGAATCTAGAATATAAATTACAATTAGCCCTAACAATAACCCTAACCCTAAGATATAAAACAGCAAGCAACGTAGTTAGAGACATGAATAAGTGCTGATTGCACTGTTTTTCCCAGTTTTACGTCCGTCCGCGGATCTGCTTTTTTTTTCTGTCTGCCAGCGCATGCGTACTGATCTGGTTTTTTGAGGAAAAACGTCCAAAACGTACGAAATAGTGTGCATAACTTTTCGTACGATTTCATACGTTCTTCAAAAAACCAGATCAGTGCGCATGTGCTGGCAGACAGAAAAAAAAAGCAGATCCGCGGACGGACGTAAAACTGGGAAAAACAGTGCAATCATCACTTATTTATGTCTCCAACTACGTTGCTTGCTGTTTTATATCTTAGGGTTAGGGTCAGGGTTAGGGCTAATTGTAATTTATATTCTAGATTCGTAAATGGCGCGTCAGATGCGCATGCGCATACAACGAAAAAAACGTCCAAAACGTACGAAATTACGGTGCATAACTTTTCGTACGATTTCATGCACACTCATAATGAGAATAGGTTGCTATCATTGGGATGTGCTCTCCTAAAACATGTTGCTACACATGTCTGCTTCTAGTGTTTATGTATAGAGTTAGCTTCACTTTCAGCCATGCAGTGTAGCTCTGCTTCTCTCAGCGTATAATTTAAACATGACAGAGTCACAAGAAGCAAACTGGTTTTTTTTTCATGTTCATGACAAGAAAAGGAAGGCCTCAGAACGAAGATAAAAGGTCAGAGTGTCTTTGGGGGAGATTATGTGACATAAAGACAGAAGAGCCGGTTAGATGGTCTTACGCAGTTACTCAAAAAGTGACTACAGTCCATTACAGTTCTACATTATATTAATAATGTTTATCCAAAAACTACAACAATATTAAACAAGTTATGATATTTATCTTTGCTGAAATGTGAGATTCCGGGATTATTTCCTAAAACACATACCTTTGCTCCATAATAATTAAAAACTGGTATTAAACTAGTTCTAACAATAAAAGTAATGCTGCTTTTATCATCTTTAACATCTGCAAAAAAAAGTAAATTGTTTTTTTGTATAATTTTCTGAAAATAAAATGTCAAATTATTTAAATTATTTCACTTAAGAGTGTCACTGCTGATATATGAAGGTCAATGACGCCGTTACAGATGAGAGAGAACAGGACTTTTAACAGATAACACGAAGGCTAAAAAAAAAAGAGTACATGATGATTCCTATACAGTATCTTTAAAAAAATGGGATTATCTAATATTAAGGATCTACATTATGTAAGGAATTCCAACAGAGGTGATGTTTTATTGCTGGTAACTGTGCTTTCTGTGGCCATCAAGAATTTAGGATGCTAAATTTGGTTTGAACCCTTAAACTTTTTATTCTTTGTGTAAAATCATTATATCGGTGCCACGTCCCACACAGTAAGGCAATAGTAAATCTGTTCATAGGATAAAAAATTAATCAGAGATAGAAAAGTATCTCAGCGCTACTTATCTTTTTGGCTTCTTATCATAGGTGGGTATGGTACCCAACATTTCTTACCTAAGTAAGAGTAGCACTACTTTAACATTTGTTTACTCAAGTAAAAAATTCCTGAAGTACTGGGTACTTGCTGGATCATAACATCTGATTTAACGTTTGGAAATAATGAATCTTACCGGCAGTTATTAGCAAACTATGGTATTACAACTTATATAATGAAATAAAAAAAATCTAATACATGAGTTCATAATTACAAATTTGCAGTGAAGAAAAGTGTTTTTTTCTTCTCCTTTTTATGCCTAATTTATTAAAATATCCTTTAATGCAGAGTACCTATATAGGTTAGGAAAGTTTAACAACTTATCTACTGCTAACCATATTTCACCTTATCTCTGTTTCTCCTGCTGGGTGGAGTGACCAGAAAATGTACCCAAGTAAGAGTGGTGATATTCAAACAAGAATATCACTTAAGTAACATTTTTTTTTTAAATAAAAGGCACTCAACTAAATGTAACTTAGTGAATGAAACCAGTTACTGCAAACATCTATACTTATATAATGTATTTTCTGTTTTTAAAGGAAAATAATAAAAATAATCAGCAAGTGAAAGATTGTTTATTAGCAATTAAATTTGCTTATCTTGTAAAAGAAGTAAGTAATAAATCGATTACAAAGGATTAACATTTTACTCTTTAGTCTGGATTTATCTTTGGATGCCTCTGTGAAGAATTTACTGTACAGTTTAGGGCAGAATTCTTTTGAGAGGCCTCTCTCTGATTTTCCTTTATAAGTGTTACTGTTGGGATGAGTCAATTTTTTTAGTTTATGAGGAATTTGGGGGGAAAAGGTTTATTAAAAATGGAAAACTAAGAATCTGAACATTCTTTTTTTACAAACCCAGAAAATATCCATAGATTACAAAATTGGTACAGCAAGGAAAAATTAGAATTTACATATTCAATGTCCTAAAAACGACATTATGTGCGATCTGAGGCATAAACACGAAAAAAATGACGCTCACCTAAATGTAACTGAGTGAATGAAAACAGTTACTGCCCACATCTATTTTTCTAGTTTTTAAAGGAAAAATATAATTTTAAAAAATCAGCAAGTGAAAGATTGTTTATCAACAATTGAACTCTGCTTCTCTTGTAGGAGAACTATGTAATGAATCGATACCAAAGGTTTGAAATTTTACTCTGTTATCTGAATTTATCTTTGCATGCCTCTATGAAGAATTTACTGTACAGGGCAGAGAGAGATAAAGAGCTCTCACTGGAAAAAATTGAAATCTAGACAAGCCATTTTTTCTTAAAATAAGTGCATTTGTTCTTGAATTGAGGAGGTAAGTGAGATACGTTGCCAATGGAATAAGACAATTTACATTTAAAATAAGAAAACACAATTGCATTGTTGTATTTCAAGTGCATTTTATCCAAATATCTAATTTTAAGAGTAAAAATACTCATTCCATTGGCAAAGAATCTCATTTACCTACTCAAGTTAAGAGTAAATCCATTAATTTAAGACATTTTTGCTCATTTTTAGATATTTTTTCTAGTGCTATTACTTTAGACTTCTTTTGAGAGTTCTCTCTGAATTTCCTTTGTGTTACTGTTGAGATGAGTCAGTTTTTTCAGTTTATGTTGGGGGGAAAGAGTATTTTATAATCAAAGTTGATTAAAAAAATGTGAATCTACTGTAAGAATCAGAACCTTCTTTTTACAAACAAAGAAAATATCCATAGATTTCCAAATTGGTGCAGCAGCAAAAAGGAGAATTTACTTATTCAATGTCCAAAAAAAAAACATTATGTGCGATCTGAGGCATAGAGACGGAAAAATGTCGCTCAGCTAAATGTAACTGAGTTAATGAAACAGTTACTGCCCACATCTATTTTTCTGGTTTTTAAAGGAAAAATATAATTT